AGGCTCTGATCCTTAGTACCTGGTCACTGTTGTCACCTGGGCTTGAGTAGAGCTAGTGTCCTTTTCTGTAAGTGGGAGTGGCGGGCATGAGAATCCTGGAGCGGTTCTGTGGCTCTGACTTGCTCAGCTAGCTCCCTCAGATCCTCCTTGGGATTTACCTTTGGGAACCTGTGTACTGACCAGTTAGCTCTCTGTCTTGGTATGCTAGGACTTCTAGAAGTCCTGCTAGATCAAATCCAGGTTGCACCTCAGCAAAGCTGGGATACAGCAGGTTCTCCCATAGCCAGGCAAATACCCAGTCCAGCCTATAGTAGGTCCTTAACAGCTTCTCTCCCTATGCTGCATTTGTCCAAATCTAAACTCCTCCTAAGTTCCTCCCACCAGCACCCCCATCTCCAATGGTCTTTCACTTTGTTTTCTCAATTCTACTGGGCTGGACCCCCATGCACAACCCCTTCCTTGGTAACCTCAACACTCATGTCTTGTGCTCCCTCATTCTCCCAAGCCTTACCTCTGTGCCCAGACCACCTTTCACTGGTCCACTGCAGTCAGTGTTGAGTGTACAGTCCCCAGACTGGAGCTCCCATGTCATAAAGTAAGCTTCCTGAACTCCTTAAGATCAAACCCAGGGTTGCCCAAGTCTTCCTGCCTCACCCTCCTGAGTGCTGGGATTATAAGTGTGAGCCATCATGTCCCAAGGGAAGAGGTTGAAGAGTCCCATATTAAGAATGTTGAGAAAATGAGGGCACAGAGACTGCTAGAGGTCTGGCTTGCTATCCCTTCTGCTAAAAACATACGCTTGTGACTTCTGTTCTTCCAGAATCCTCTGAGACTTGGCTTCCTGGAGCCCTCTCCTGGCTCTGTTAGGGGTTAGGTGGTACTATATGCTCAGGGTACAAACATGGGCATGTTCCTGTCCAAAGCCTGGCACTCAGAACTCACAGGACACTCCCAATGGTTGGTGGAGAAGGTTGTAAGCCTTCTCCTGGGCCAAGGCTAGCCACTGTCTCAGGTCCTGTGGCAGCTTCCTGGGAAGTGCATTAGCCAAGGGGCAGAGTCGAAGGGCTAACCCTCACCTGTAGAGAGGGGACACAGCTTAAGGACTGACTTCTTCTTTTATGCTGCCCAGAAATGGAAAGTGACATTCCTACAGGATGTGGGTCAGCTTGCCCACCTGCCCACCTTTCAATTCCATACCTTTCTGTTTGCTTCCCAGCCACCATTCCTGATTCCCTTTCTCTCTCTTCTGTCGCAGTTCCTAGCACCCTGTCTCCCTTTCTTCCTCTTATCAGAGTACAAGGTGAAAAATTGTTTTCTCACCTAAGCTGCTGCAGAGAGGTCTTGCTCCCACCACCTAAGCCTGTCTGTGTCTGCATGGTTCTCTAGCTCCACTCCCTCCTACCTGACCTGGCCTTCCTTGACCTGCAGGCACAGAAGCCTCTGGCTCTAAGGCCTCGATTCAGAAAGGTTCAGTGATGCGATGGCAGCTGGAGCTGCGGTGAACACTATTGTCTCCCTACGGACACAGCCTGGGTTTCCCTCTGTGAGCATACATGCATTTGCTCCTGACACATTTGGGGAAGTGTAGGCAGCAGCCTCTGTGGCAGACTGGTGTTGAGGAGGGAGAGGCTGGGGGCTGCTGAGAAGGCAGAGGAAGAATTCCCTAGGCTTCCCCAGAGGAACCTTCACAAGGCTCAGGATTGACTTGTGCCTTCCTTGCCTCAACACTCAGAGTCCCAAATACAACCAAGTTCAGCATCTGTTTGGCAGTCTGCCTTGGATCAAGAAGAGCAAGGTGGGCCAGCCACCCCAGCACCCAGCTCTGCAGATTTTCTTTCTTTCGAGATGGCTACAGGGATGGGAGGCTATCAGGTGGGTACAGCTGCCTGCCTACAGGGAAGGCTCATTGTAAGAGAAAGGGCTTGGGTGGAAGGAGTGACAGCATAGAGAAGGGGTTGAGAGATTTAGACAATGGGGTCTATAGAGAGGATTGGGGGACATGAAGTGCTTAGTCCATAAGCACTGACTTCCAATTCAATGCAGGCAAGATGTTTTGCCTGTGCCACTTGTGAACTGGCAACTTCAAGTTGCATGGATCTCTCCAGGCTTCAGTCTTCTCACATATAAAGTGGGGATGATGACAGCACAGTTTCTGAGGGCTGATATGAGAGTGAAATGAGACCATTCCCGTATGCTCCTAGCACAGTGCCTGGCACAAGGAGATGCTGCATAAGTATTGAGAATGCATGGGGAAAGACCTGCCTGAATTCAGGTGAGCCGGTTTCCTGAGCAAGAGCACTACTGACCTAGATTCTGCTGACATTTGGGGCCAGACATTCTCTCCTGTGGGGTCTGTCCTGTGCCCTGTAAGACACTTAGCAACATTCCTGGCATCTACACACTAGCCGTCAGGAGCACCACCTTCACTGGTGACAACAAAAAAGTCATATCCAGACACTATCACACGCCCTCTAGGGGAACAAAATTGCCCTAGTGAAGAGCATGGGATTAGATGATGAGACAATGAGCTCAGGTAGGAGAGGTGAAGTGCATGATGGGTATGTAGGGCCAGCCATGGCCAGGTGGGTGTAGAGGGGGTGAGTGGGACACGATGGGGAAAACTTCCTTGTATGTCCTGGGTAAAGAGAGAGGTACAGGCCTTCCAGGCTGAAGGCCAGAGCTGAGCTGTGTGTGGGGAGACAGGTGGTCAGAGCAGTGAACTCATAGGGTTGCTGTCTGACGGAACACAGGTTGTGGAGAGACTTTCTTGTCTCCAGAGGATGCAAAAACACAGGGAAGGGCAGCCAGGGAATGGATGCCAGCTGGGAGACCTGCTAAGGGAGCATGGCCAGCACCCCTAGTCAGGGAGGGTGGGGAGACCATGAAGGCAGAGGGCTGCTGTACACTCAGGGCTGTGCTCAGCAGAACTGAGGTGAGGTAGCATCTTCCTTCGAGGGTAAACTGCTATCATTTTGGAAGGATTTTCACCTCATTTGGTTCCTGCTTAAGTGAAATCCACAACATGTGTTCTCTGCATTAGTGGAGTGTTTGTGCTTAATTAGTGGCAAATTCTTTCATATTAAAGTCATTAAGTTTTGCTGTTTGCTCTCCTCACCCTGGGCCTGGCTTTGCTGCTTTTTGCTTTAATGTGGGAAGGCCTGACTGGAGAAACCCAGGTCCCTTCAGCATGGTGGGCTCAGGAGGTATTCATGCAAACACACACACACACACACACACACACACACACACACACACACACACACACACACAGAGAGAGAGAGAGAGAGAGAGAGAGAGAGAGAGAGGCAACATATGCACATATGTATCCTGTGGCATTCAGATTCCACTGTTCCAGCCCTGATGGCTGTCCCACCCAGGACTGGCATCTGTCCCTCCTGGCTCTTTGTCCATAACCCCAGGCACCCGCACGTGGCAGGCAGCTCTCCTTTGGTCCTGCCTTGCCTTTGGAGCTACCTTATAAGAAAGACTAAAGGTCAGAGGAGTGTTCCAGACTGCTGAGTGTGGGCCTGCCTCTCCTGCAGAGGGACAGGGGCAATGCAATGTGGAAAACTCAACTGCAAAGGAGGCTGAGTTCCCATGATCCAACTGGTCAGCAGGACTGAGTATAGACCAGCGCCAAGGACCACTGAGGGATGCTGGGATAGGGTAGAAGGCAGGCCTTGCTCCTGTTCCAGCCCTCTGGAAGGGACTGTCTTATTGGTTCCTAAGGCTGAAATATATAACTTGAGGGTGATGCTCTGTAGCCCAGAACTACAGTGACCACAAACTCTTGTATATGGCATGGATGCCTTTAGAATATTAGCTTTAAGGGCCATAGCCCAACTCCCTAACACACCCAATGTAGACTTCCAAGCCATCCTCCCCCAACTACCCAACATAACCCTCACAGTTCCATGCAAGTTTCATGGCAACCCAAGACCACAACAAAACCAGGGTCATGACTCCAACCTGAGTGCTAATGTCTCCCAGGTCTTAACCAGTTACAGAACAAACCCAGCATTCCAACCCTTTAGGGACAGCCCTAGTCTCCCCTTTTTAGACACAGTTTTCCCAGGCTGGAGGGAGCCTCTTGCCTCAGCCTTCTGAAAAGTAGAGCTGGGACTACAGGTGGGTGCCACCATGTTGGCTTCCTTTCAACTTTTGTAGAACTCCAGTTCTAAATTCAGTTAAGCTTACTGTTAGAAAGAAGCAAAGTGTGTATGTGCGCGCGCGCGCGCGCGCGCGCGCGCGCGCGTGTGTGTTTCATCTAGCAGTGTGTGTGTGTGTGTGTGTGTGTGTGTGTGTTTCATCAAGCAGTGCCCTGCATGATGTGGAAAAGAAGACAAGATTCTCAGGGGTCCTGACGTGCAATTCAGGGAGGAGGCTGCCTCACTGGGGCACCCCACTGCCACCTTCAGCAGACCTGTGATCATGTCCAGGCTCTGCACAACTAACTGTCCCTTGGTGGCTTTTCCCCCCTAACACCCAAGAGGCTGGAGGTGCTAGTGGTTCAGCTTTTCCTGTCTGACCTGGATGGCTTCAGCGGTTTCCAGCGTCAGTGTCCATGGCCAAGTCTCATGCCCATCCCAAACCCAGCCTTTTCACCTCTACAGTGAGTCCCAGCTTCACTCGGCTGGGGTGAGGTCACCTCCCCAGTACTGGGCAGCTTCCTCTGTTCCTGGCACATGGTTGTCATTGTTCCTTCCTTCTTTCTCCACAGCACTCAGAATCGTCACCTTACACTTGGCACAATACTGAGGGGAACACCCCGCTGCCACCACTGCAGTCTGTCCTCTTCCTGCCCTGCCTGGCAGGGACACATGGGGTGAAGGGACCCGAGAGTCAGAAAAAGCTCTGAGTCCAGCCACCACCCCGCACCCTCCCAGATCTCCTCCCCAGTTTCCCCTTGTGGTGTCACCGTTTCAAGTGTGGGGTCTTTCCCACTTTCCTCCCCACAATCACCATCCCTCTGCCCAACATGAGTCTATCAGGAGCCTCACCCAGTCCTGCTTCCAGCTCAGACTTGTCAAGGTTTCAGGAGTCACTGGTAGGGGCTGGCATGCCAGGGCCTGTTCCTCATCCTGACTCGCAGAGGAAGCCAGCACGTAGGCACAGGGCATGGCGCCCAGCTGCAGAGATGTAGCTGGCCTCTGTGGCCGCCTGCTTCCTCTCCTTCCCATTCCCTTGTCCTTCTGACCCTTCCCAGAGTGGCCTGAGAGCCTAGGGGCAGCCTGTGGCAGTGATGTGCTGTCTGTGTAGGCACTCCACATCCTTCGAGTGTGGAAAGAGTATCACCTGTCCCCTTTGGCCACCCTGAGATTGGACAATACCCTGAGCAACACAAGCCTTCAGATTCCCGAGGAGACACAAGAGGGTCATGTTCCCTGCTGGGGCCCTCCTGGAGTTGGCAAGAACAGTTAGCATGTATGTGTCAGTCACCTGTGCCAGGCCCAAGTCTGAATGCTCACAAGTAATTTGTAAATTCTCAAAACTCCTAGTTGCTAGGTGTCATTCCCATTCTCATTATAAAAATAAATTCAGAGAGGGCAAGGAACCTGCTCAAGGCCAAACAGCCTGTGAGGCCAGTTCTGGTCTGGACAGCCTCTCCGGAGGCTAGGCCTTCCATTACGGCACCTATTGGTATGTATACATCTTGTTCCTCTCCCTTTTGGGGGCAGAGTGGTCTAAACCTTCACGACAAGACACTCAGAACCTGTCTGATGGGCAAGGAGTCCCTACAACAGAGGGAGTGGGGCACCATGCCCTCTGCCTGGCACATAGCTCTGGGAAGAGGTTCAGTCTATCACCCCTGCCCCCCACCTCTGCCTCTGTCAGGGCTGCAGGCCAGCTGAGCCACAAAGTGACCTGACTGAGGACTCTAAGCACACATCGTCTCTAGTCTTCCACAATGCCTGACTTTGGCTTAGTGTTTCTGGTCTTCCGCTTCTCAACCTAGGAACTGTGTGGTGTGAACTGTGAGGAAATGGAGACAAAATGCTGAGTATTTCCATGGATCATGGAGTGGAAGGTAATGGTGGCTATTAGACACCAAGAAGCTAGAGTATGTATGTATGTATGCATGTATGTATGTATGTATGTATGTATGTATGTATGCATGTATGTATTTAATCTTCACAGCCGCAGACCTAGAAAGTGAGTGACTGCCAAGCTGTTTTTTTTCCCACGGCTGGAGGTGGAAGGTGTTGGTGTGTTGGTGTTCTTGGTGTTCCTGGCTCACCTTACCCAGCCCATCCTACCACCTTCAGTCCCCACATCCAGGAAGCCAGAAGCAAGAGGTACTCCACGAGACCCCAGCCCTTCCCTGAGTGGGCCTGGAGCTCCACTGCAGCCCTCCCGGTGAGCAGGGCTTGTCTCACCTCCACCACCACCAAATGTTGGCCAGCTCCATTGCTGGCCTTCTCACCAGAGGCTCCTGGGATAGCATGCCAAATTAGCTTAATGAGTGAGGCCCCAGATTTAATTGGGGCCCTGGGCTTTGTAGCACTGACTCCTGTTTTCATTTTTAAAGCTGGGAAGGGGTGGGTTTTCTCTCTCTCCCTCTCCCATGCATTTTCACCCTGGCTAATAGTTCCTCACTCAGAAAGGCCCCTATAACTGCTAATTGGATTTAATTACTGGGGTAATTAATGATTTGATTGGGAAACTGAAATGTGGAGGGTGAATTCTGGTACATAAATAGGAAAGTCAAAGGGACAGAGGACTTAGATTGAGATTCAAGGAAAGTCTAGGCTGTGGATCTTCCAGTGGTCCCCTTAGTTGGGGACCAGCTGCACTGGCTCCCTATTTGTCCAGGAGAAAAGAAAAAAAAAAATCATATAGGAATGTACTGATCCAACCGTTGTAAAGAGGATGGTAGGGATTAGAACTGAGGAGCTGGCAGAAGAGGGGTGGGGAGGCATGACTTGGCCCATGATGGCTCAATATGGCCACAAGAGCACCTGGGGAAGACTTATCAGCCAGCCACAAGACCTTAGAAATGTAGTATGCTTGTTTCTCTTGTTGTGGTTACAAAGGCCTTGCCTCTGGGTCACAAGATAAGCAAATGGCTCATCTAAGAAACCAGGTTCAGCAAGAGCTGTGGGTGTGTGGCTAGATGGCTACCACCTCTAGCCATATATCTCACTCTCCCTTTGGCCTCTTTCTCCAGGTACAAACGTTTCTAAGTCTCCTGTCCTCCCATTTCTGTCATGCTTGGTTGACTCTGCCCGGCTACAACATGAAATGAGCAGAATTCAAAAGAACTGGGGGAATAAGGAGGGTGAAGAATCAGCCCCTGGTACTTTATAGTGACTTGGGGACTTTCTACTACTTCCAAAAGAGGTAGGTGGGGGAGGAATTAAAGATAATAGAAGAGTGGGTAGCTGGACAGTAGCTGGGTCTGTAGGTCTGTGATCCTAGCTACTCAGAGAGGCTGAGGTAGCATTGTGAGTTCAAGACTAACCTGAGTAACTTAGCAAGAACTTGTCTTAAAAGCTAAAACAACAAAATAAAACCAACCAACCAACCAACCAACCAACCAGGAGCTGAAGAGATGGCTCCATGGTCAACAGAGAGCACAGGCTGCTCTTACAGAGGGTCTAAGCTCAGTTCCCAGCATCCACACAGTGGACCACAACGGTCTTCAACTCTAGTTCCAGGGGATCTGAACACCCTCTTTTGGCCTTTATGGGAGCCATCATGTACATGATGCAGCTACATATGCATGTATGTACATCAAATAAAAAATAAATGCTACTGAGCATGTTGCCTGCCAATCGCCTCCTTACCACCCACAAGACTCAACTCTTCATCAGTATAGCAGTTTAACTCTCCTTGGAAATTTCTAGACATGGTCTTGAGTGTCCTGTCTTTACAAAACTGTGGGTAACCCTGAAGACAGTGACCCTTCCCCGAGAAGCACCCACGTCTAATTGTGTGATGTTAGAAAACACGTCTCACAAACACTCTGTTAAGGCAGGTGCCACTGTCGTGCTGGGAAACTGAGGCTCAGACTGGTAAAGTGACTTGTTCAAGGGACACTGCTAACAGGTGGATCTGAACACAAACCAGATCTTAAGACACAGCCTCCTGCCCTCTCCACTGCCTTGGGGCAGATCTAAACCAGTATCAGGCCTTCAATCTACCCCTGCTTAAATTCCCAGCTTCCTCTCCTACCCCTCCCAAGTCTCCACCCACCACACCTCTTTGAAGTGGAAAACCCCTACTTCAACACGCAGGTCCCACAGACTCACCTGTTCTATTCTCATATTCCCACAGTCCCTAGCTCCACCTTGCTCAAATAGCAATCCTTGGGAGCTCCATGATTGGGTGTGCCAGAATCAGAAGCGCGGGCCTAGTGCCTGATACTTGCACTGGGAACGCACTCCATCTGATCTCCTGATGAACTCTGTACTAGAGACTCCAACCCTGGGGAACAGACTTGGGGATGTGGGTCCCCATTGACTTCCCAGGTCACTGAGCGCTTTTAATCAAGACTTCTTAGGGAGCTGGCTGATCAAAGGAGGGCCAGGCTCCCCTGCAAAGGCCATGGTTGTTTGCCAAAAGAGGATTGTCTAAGAGAGGAGGGCTGAGAGCCACAGGGGTGGGGGAGCATTCCCTCTTAGCTGGCTTCTCAGTGAGGAACGGACACACCCCTCTCACCCTCTGCTGGCTAGGCTGGCTGGCCAGGGGGCATCCTACCACTCCTTCCTCCAGTCTCTTTGACTTTAGGCATCCAGAATCCTGAAGCAATCAAGGGGAAAGTGCTGACTGTTTTGAGGATGATAAAGTTGAGACTCAGTAGAGAGAAGTGACTTAGAGTTATATAGTAAATGAAAGAACCAAGAAGAATCCAAGACCCTTTTCACTTTGCCTGCAGAAAAATGGGGAAGCAGGGCCAGCCACTGGGTGAGAAACAGCATGACAGTGTCTCAGGGGGTGGGGGGAGGCAGGTTGACATCCCATGCACACTGCTGAGAGACCTAGAACAGCAGGATCAGGGTGAAGAAGGGTGGTGTCCCATCCCCCGCTACCCCTAGGCTGCAGCTGCCCCAGCAGGGCCTCTTGTGGGTACAAACAGGAGGTGCTCTAGAGTTCAGCCCTGCCACCCCCCAGGGTAAGGGGGGAAAGGAGGCCTGAAGAAGCAGGCCAAAGTCAACTCTCCCCACTGCCCCACCCCCAGCAAGAGCAGAACAGCCAAGCCTGTAGGACCAGAACCCAGCACATTGTCCTGACATGTCCTGGAGACACAGCTTGAGTGGGAAGTGAGGGAGTGAGTCAGGGCTTGGAGGTGGGGTAGAGGGGGATGGAAGTGGGGGCGAAGAAGGTACATCCACTTTAGAGGGTCAAGGGACTGGCAGGCAGCAGGGCAGGGTGGCATCCCCAGGTGGGAAGGTGGCACTTAGGCTTGGGGGTTCCTTATCCCAGACCTCTGCCTCTCCTGTATGATGCAGGACGGCGAGCAAGGCAGTCTCTGGTAGTGGGGGCAAGGTGGGTGTACCTTCTTGCCTCCATTGTGCAGGGAGAAATCAGGCCTGGGCTAGATAAAAGCGAGAGAGTTGAGGCTTGGACTGGCACAATGCCCTTCAATCAGCAGGAAGCCTGGCTGTGTCCCCTCTTTGCCAGCACTTCAGGCACTGCCCACCATGGCGGCACAGTCTGGCCTTGGGAGTGGCAGAGCCCACACCCCACCAGAGAAAAGCCTCTTGCCCACAGTAGCTGTGGGGGCGGGGAGGTCCAAGTGAGGATTAGGGCGGGGAGACGCTTTGAACCCCAGAAAGACTGGTGGGAACTGGTTCTTGACTCATGGCAGAGAAGGGGGGTGGGGAATGGTAAAGGCTCCTGCATTATATTATTATTATTATTATTATTATGCCTCTTTCATGAGATGTGAACTCAAGTAATTAAAAACACAAATCTGACTTTAGACCTCCATCTTTGCTTCAGCCCTGGTCCCATCAGAAGGCCAGCAGTTCTCAGCAACCTCCCTTTCCCAAACACAGAGTGAATAAGCTTGCCCCGAATCCTTCAGGCTCTCTGAACCCTAAAAAAAATAAACACTAGTGGGCAAAGTTTGTACTTTGGGCCCTTGTAATCAGAAAACTGATTGCTGTACTCCAGA